CATCAAACATTCTGCAAAGTTGAGCGAAGCTGCACGCACACCACCCCCAGGGCTTCTCGTCCGCGACTCGAGCGCTAAATTATTAATAATATCCAACGCGATGCAAACAGAGCAGTCAACTAAGTCAACATAGTCGCAATCAAGCTCCGCCTTTAATTTCATCTCGCGCTATGTTTGTTTTCGGCGCTTCTTTAATTGAACAATATGCAAATCTTGTGTTGCAAACGCGCCATTATTACACCAAACGCCGGCGGCTGCGATCGTTTGAGTTGCAAATGAACTGGCGAAATCTCTCTTTTCCCCCCGAGGCCTAATTGTGCGAATTAAAGGAGACGCACGGACAAGATTAATGATCCTTTTCACTTTTGCGCGTTGCAAAAACTGCAACATTTAATGAGTTACGTTCCTTTCCCCCTCGCTCGTTAGCATCATGGAACCAAATTATAAAATTGAAATTAATTACTGTGAAAAGTCTTGGCTCGAGTGCGTGCGGCTGACTCTTTATACACGTTCTGCAGAGAGGCGCTCGCGCGGTTTGCTTATGTTCAGATTTGCGCCTGGCCCCATTAAGGAAAGCAGGTGTATTGTGTGCGCCTTAACGTTCCCTTTTCCAGACCTCATTCTAACCTAATTAGCGCGAAATAACTCTGTTAACCGCCGACGCTGTGCTGAGGGAATGAACAAAAGACGTTACAAAATTATGAAGCACGCGCTTTTGAAGGACATTAAACAAATCACTTCAATGCTGTGAAAGGCAAGTAATAATAAATTGTGAGACGAAGGAAATAAACGAATTAAAAAAAAAAAAAAAAATGAAGCAGAAATTTTTCCACTGACTAAATATCAGGACGATTTATTTCACGGATTTTTTGTTGGAAATTGAATTTTAAAATATACTTCTCCCACAACCCTGCTACAATCTATAGGTAAATGGAGGCGAAAGCGCGCATTAATACGGGCATGCAGCTTCGCGGCGATAGTCAAAGCCATCCGCGGCTGCAGCAGCCGGACGCGAATACAAAGTTTGGACGCGAAGCTTACTCATACCGCGTCGTCAAACCCTGGAATGACTTGCCACCCGCAGTGAAGGGCAGTACCGCGGCACAGTTTCCACCTCTGTGCAAGGCGTGAATTTTGGTGTGTAGTAATATTTCCATCTTTAATTTTTTGATGGCTCTCTTTCGAAGGAGAGGGTGCTGTGCTTTAGCAAGTTGTTTGCTAGTGAAAAGCCATTATGTGTCTCTTTCAAATGTATTTTCAGCTTTTCCTGTACTTTTTACGTATAGTTTTTTTGCTGTGTATTTTTTACTGTACATCAAATGGAGAATAAATAAATAAATAGTAATGAAAATTTCACATAATGTGATTATCTTTTGACGAGTAAAGAAGTTGAGGAAATTCTTGGAAATAAATGCAAGCTATTTAGACGTGAAAAGCCACTGGTTTTTTCCTTAAAAATATAAAGAAGCTTTCCTTTTATGTAAAAATCATCATTATTGTGCAAATCAAATTAATATTTGGTTCATCTAACTTCATATTTCACAATAATAATTAGACTTTTATTTAAAAAAAAAAGAAACAGCTAGTCAAGTTCTGAAAAATAACTGCAATCCTCTTATTTTTTTTTTACAATTTTCAACATTAGATATTGTTGATTTTTAAGTTTTCAATTAATTTCCGGCTACAGTTAGCCAAAGTAATGAACTTTTTTAAAATATATAACAAATCCTAGCAAAGAAAATTATTCATTTATCATGAATTGATGAAATAAAATAACAATATTTTTTTTCTGCGCGTTTAATGCAATCTCGTGAATATCTATTTCGGGAAAGAAATGAGACGTACAAAAATTTGATCTAATTTGGGGAAAAACACTCGCAGTAAATCAAGTTTGCAAACTTCTTGTTAATCGACACCCTTTCAATGAAAAAGAAGAATGGCATTGGTTGTCCTCACTCGGCTGGAAGCGCTGAGAGAGTGGTTCTTGCTTGCTCCTCTGCTTTTCTCCGTCGCAGCCAACCTTGTTTAATATTAACAGCGTGATCCGGCGGAGCACTTAGTTTTGCATTAAGGCGGTCGGTGTTGGCGGCGAGCACTCGGAATGAATGTCGTCGGCGCGCCACCGAAATTAATGTCATTGAGTTGGCAAAGTAATTAAATTTATTGGGCCGGGCGCAAATTGCGCGAGCGGCGCAGGAGGAAGGTTAGGAAAGCGATAAATTCGGTTTTATCAGACGACACAGCACGGGTAGGAAAGAGCTCGTAAAACCAGCTCGAACACCAAAACAAACGTAAAAGCAGCCATCGGAGGAAATTAATTTCTGCTGCGCCAAATTTAAAAGATCTCGTTCATCCCACACAATGTCGGGGGTAGTTTTCCGCGGCATTTCATTACCAAGATAGTGCGCGGAGAGAAAAGCGAGTGTGCTTAATCTGCAGATAAAACCGCGGCCAAACAAACACGGCCTCCGGAGAAGCAGGTTGCTTCTTCTCCTTCTTCTCTCTGCCCATGCATTAATAAATTTCGGGAGGAATGCGCGGCACGGATTAAGCGACGTTACATTACCCACGACTGCAAATCTCGACTAATTTAGGTATAGCACCGCGGCTTTTTTTATTATGCAAGCATGAAAAATTATGACGAAGGGGCTTTAAGTTCATATTAAAATCTGCCTTCCTTCCTCCCTCTTTTGCCGTAATATAAATTATATCTCGGGGAATTACACTTTTTTAATATAAAATTCAAAGCAACTCCACTAACTTATGTTGCAAACAAGAGCCCCACATGTTGACAGAATTGTTGAATTTTGTTTTACAAAATTCTCCATCTACATTTTTCAAAATTTTACAATTAATTAGAGCGAAATTGCAATTTTTCAAGATTTCGCGTAGATTGTAAATTTCTGTTAAATAAATTCTTACTAAAAAAAAAACATCAATCGAATAATTATTTTTCTCACTTTTTATAAAGTGCATTTAATCTTTTTTTGCGATTGTGCAAAAATTTCATGAAGTATATTTATGTTTTAAATTTCAAGCTGCTTAAAACGAGAATTTTTTAAAGTAAAAGATTCCTTTTTTGGCATCAACCGATACAAATTAACCCAATCGATGAAGAATTTCTGGAATTTGGTGAGGAGCAAATAAAAAAAAATTATTGATCAAAGAGCACTTTTTTGGAATTCACTTTTTATACCAAAATCAATATTCTATGTGGCATAACCATACAAAGGGAACGTGTGGGTTTCATTGGTTTATGTATAATAATAGCTTGCTTGTGACGCAAACACAGAATGTCACTTTTTTGGTTCATTGCCTCCTCGCGTGTCCTTAACCAACGAGAAATCATGTGAATTTAAGAAAATATCAAATTATTAATTATGCAAAGACAAAGAACTTGGTTCAGGACAAAGAAAAAATCCTTGACAATATTCAATTCATTTATTCTCTCACAACAGGTCAAAATTTTAATCACCCTGAATCTTGTGCAAATTCAATTGGTATTAATTTAATCTTCATAAAAAATTTCCATATAGTTATCGTTAAACCTAATTTTCAATTTCATGTGTACAAAAAAAATTAATTAATAAGAATACGTTAAATTGTTTCTTCCAAAGGTGGCAGCAGCTTTTCAGCAATTAGCTAACGAAACTAAATATATAAAATTACATCGCAGCCCCTGAGGGATCCAAAAAGATTAAAATTAACTCTGGGCTAGTAGGCCCTTGCTCTCTCCCTCTATATCCATTATGTTCCTTGACCCCTGAACCAGCGGTTAATCCCAGTGAGGAAGTTGGGGCGTATAATTCAATTCACCTCTCTGGTTGCTCGCGGCGCTTTGTATAGAATACAAAATTCGGAGTGGGTAATTTCTGCAGCACATCCACTTTAGGCAAAGGTTCATTTGTCATGACCTCGCACTTAAAAGGATGATGCGTGTGTCCTCGGCAAGACAAAGCAGAAAGGGGAAAAAAACTCGCAGCAATGCTGAACAAGGAAAAGCGATTCTTGGGCAAAATTAAGACCCACGCAGCACTTTGAATTAAGCACGCGTGGTCAACTTTCAATTCGGCTCCTGACCTGCCGCCGGGCATAATTCAGCCGCAGCTTTTTTAGAGCCTGCACGCACACGTCCACCGCCTTTTAACCCATCGTTCCATACAGCGACGTACGGTCTGTGTGTACTCAAGGATTGTCCTCGAAACGCTTTGACACTTTTGAAAGCACCTGCAGAAACGTGTACAGAGAGAGAATTTCTCTTTTTGCCGCGACAGACACGTGGAAATGGGAGGGCGAAGGGATATGAAGAGAAGCATACATATTATATATAACCTTCGAAAAGAACATTTTTATCAAATGAAATACTTTCTATTTGCTTTTTTGTGTGGATTTTTTGACATGTTGAACTCAAGCAATGGAAAAAAAGCGCGAGTTTGCCTCCCTAGAAGAACGCGTGCGAGATCAAAGAGAAAAGGGCCGGGATTCTGAAAATTAGGGTATGTTTGATCTATGTCAGCAAATAGTAAAATGAGCATTTTTATATGAAATGCTAAAAGATAAAAGTTAAAAATTATGTTCAGCCCTTTGATATTATTTATTAAAAAGCTCTGCATTTAAAAAAAATTATCATGTATGGTTCAGCATTCCGTTTTTTATGCCAATAAAATATCTTTCAATCTGTTTACTTCCCAGAACTTTTGAAATATCAGTCAAAAAAATAGTCGTATAAATAATTGATGAACGAAAATATTGATTGAAAAAAATTTAAATGAAAATTAAATGTATGAAATTAAGGCACTTTATTACACCACCGATAATAAATATGTATAAAAATATTTGAAAAAAATTAGCAATAAAAAACAGCGGTTAAAAGGTTTTTGGGAAATTTTCGTTAATTTATGTTAGTAATAGTAATTGCTCGGAATTATAAAATTAAAAGCATTTCAACTGAAAAAATAACTAAAATACGTATTTGAAATAATAAAAAAATTCTATCTTACCATCTAGGATGTGGACGCGGACGGTGGCCGAGGTGGCGTTGGACGGGCGGCACGTGTACAGCCCCGAGTCAGCCTTGATGGCCTTTTGGATGAGCAGTCTGCTGGAGGTGGTGGGGCCCTTTTCAGTTACCAGCGAAATGCCGCCCCGCGGAGAGTCAAAGTTGATGTCAACGCTGTTGTGTCGCCAGGCCATGGTGGGCGGCGGCTCCGGCGAGTACCGCACCAGACACGTCAGGTTGATGGTGCTGCCGATGTTGATGAACAAGTCGGCGCCGCCCAAAATCTCCGTTTCCGGTTCTGCAATCAAACACGTACAGTGCGATTAATGGCTGGAATGAGAGCGGCATTCAACGACCCTCATATACCCGGAAATTTCAGAGGAAGGTATAGGGGTGCAACGATGCAAGACATTTCTTTCGTTCGGGAAATTTGAATCGGAGAGCGATCCATTTTCAACTTCCAATCCACGTGTGTCTTGTAATAATAAAATTAAACATTTTGACGTTTAAATTGTTTTTTTTTCTTTTTTTTTTAGACAAATGAAAATGAAAGTAAATTTAAATTCATGTTATTTGTGAAGAAGCTCTAAGCTTATCAGTAAAAAGAATTTTATTAAAAAAGGAGGATTTTCTGAAGGATTTGCAAATTGTCGGTACTTCTATTTTGAACAATGGTTCATGGAATTATTAAACATTAAACTTAGAGGCTTTTGTGGCCATATTTATAAAGTCATTGTCATATTTAAATTTTTTATTATTATTTAATTATTCATTTTTTAAACTAATTTTTTTTTAATATCTGTCTGAAATTTAAAGATTACAGATAAAAAGTACCGGCTGAACGGGTTTTCAATTAAGTAAAGACAATATCTTTTATTGGGAAAAGTTGAATTTAGTTGAACTTTTGGTATTGTCGCGGTCTCTTTGTCATCATCTTTTAGATAAAAAAGCAACATTCAACGAGCGATTTTTTCCCCTCGAAATTATGTTCTTTTCCGCCACACACAATCAACCGCTTTTCAGTTTTTTTCCGCAAAAGAAAGAAGGTTAACTTTTTCCGCGGTCGGTAAGTTTTGGTGCTGCCGCTTCCTAAATAGCTATTCCTCTCTTCCTTGTTGCGGTACGTTTTATGGTCTACTTTTATCGCTTTATATCCAACTACAAGATGTTACTAGGATGCCACTGCAAAAATTGAGGCAGCACGAAAATTGGCCGGACAGAAATTGGCAACAATAAATGAAGTTTGAAACATATCAAACAGTCTCTCTGCAGAGAGATGGTGTATTGATTGGGCGGCCAGGCATGGGCACCAATGATTGTAAGCTATGTTTGGGCAAACTCGTACATGTTGATATTAAAAAATAAATATTTCAATTATGAAATCGCGTAATATCTTTTTTGAACTTTCCATTCAATTAGTGATTTTGACAGATATGCTGGTATTTAGAAAAAAATATGATTTTACTATGAACAAATTATTATCATTAAATTATATTTCCGCAGTTTAAAATCACTTCTAAAGAAACAACTTAGCCGCATAAAGGTTTGATGAACCCTGTATATTGTATATTCGATATTTTTCCGGCCAAAGTTATTACAATAACGATTGGATGTGATGTGTACACGCCAACCAAACAAATCCCCCTGAGGAAAAGCGGATTTTTCAACCTATTATTTTGGCTCGGTATGACGTTGATTGGCTAGCATCTGGATTTACTGCCATGGCGTTCTGATTTATAGGTGTGAAGCAGCGGGGTTCACCAACACAGTGTTGTTTTCAATTGTTTTCTCATTCTCAGACATTCCTCAGTCGCACCGGTAATCAAAGCAAACACTTTGTTACATTTGAGACACGTAACCGGTAACGGAGTCTTTTTTTGTGGTTGAATATTGCATGGGTTATTGGTTGGAGACAAGGAGAACTCGCGTTCTCCAATTACGCCACACAAACACACACACACACAAGAGACGTCCACCATTGTTTGTTACGCGAAAGCAATATTTCTCAGGAAACGGCACATTTTGTCAACTTTGCTTCTCGTTATCAAAATAAAAAGAAGCTGCTCTTCAAACAAAAGAGATTCTTTCTCTCCCATCTTTCTTTTGTATAAAAATAGCGCACCAACAATCTGACTCGTCCTTCTGAATAAAGGCAAATGGAATGGGGTTGTCTTCTTTGGCATGGCAATAAACATTCACGCAGAATGAAACAAAGAAACTTTTTAATTGCCGCCGGGCAAGATCGATTGCCAAGCGTGCAGTGACTTTGGCCAGCGGAGGAGAATTCCCTTCGCCTTCGACAATGTGGCGCTTTTTGTACATTATTCAAATAGGCGTGAAAATTAATGATGCGTGTAATGATTTGAACGCAACGTTTCATTTCGTTATTCGCAAATGGCCCACGAAAAGCGGCAGCACATTGAACGAATCAATTATTAAGTTTTTCAGCGCTAGATTTTAATTTAATCATGCACAGAAAAAGAGATTTATGCAAAATGGCATAGTTATTTTTGTAGCTTAGAATCAATAAGAGTGACTTTTCTCTCTCAATATTTAGATCATTCTTGAATTATTTAGTCAGTGCATTCTTTTAATAAAAAATTCTTCCCTTTTAAGAACTTGAATTACTTTCTAATTTTTGTGTTTTTTTATTACATAGTCGTCCAATGTGGTTGCATATTGAAATCTTATTGCGTGGCCTAGAAATTTTAATTAAAAATAAAATAAACTTAATTTATTTTCTAATTAAATTATTATTTATCTTTAATAAAAAAAGTGGACGAGGCTAAGCCTTTTTCAGTGTGTTATAATGAACTTCCTCCTCAAATGCCCAATTATTCTCTCAAAGTTAATCTTGCAACAAAATTTGTTTGTTCCCAGCTTTTAGAAGGTACACAAGGAAGGAAAGAAAAATGATGAAAATTTTTTTGCACCAAAAAATTTGCATGAACACTGCAGGGCGAGACAAAGATGGCCTGCTCGTCGTTTTTCATCGTGCATAATTGCATTTCGGTTCGCTCTCTGCGCCTTTCATATTGCGTATGTTGTTTAATTAACAGCCGACTACTGATTAATTAAGCAGTGCGCCAAGGCAACCAACTTTCTTCTTCAGTTTGCTCGCTGGCAAAGCGCACAGTGGCTGTTGGTTTTTATCGTCCGGCAACCGGTGACGCCGCCAGCAGCAGCTCTCTCGTGGTGGAGCGGCCCAAGGCTTATCTTTCTGTACCATTGGCTCAAAGGGGTAGCTGATCCGAGCCAAATCGCAACTATTTACCAACTAACTCGTGTCGGGTCATTTTGATCTCGGGTGGACGATTGTGTGTCGTGGACCTTTGTGCCACTTGGCCACACCGACGCCTTTTGATATCTTTCAGCTTTTCAATATCAATTTAATGAATTATGCATCGCGAAAGGAAAAGGCAACTTTCAAAAGATTTGCATCTTTTAGAGACTTTTACAGACTTTGATTGAAATCCGCCTTTCGGGCTGTTGCGAAGCCAAAACTTTTTGCAATTCATCATCGCGTTTTGACAACGTTAATGGATTATATCCCTCACACGCCGCTGCTAAAAGCCAAAGATGAAAGACGGCGTGGGCTTAAATTCTGGCTAATTATGATCTCAAAGCAGCGGCCCGTGTCCGCTCCCAGAATCAACTTCTTTTGCAATGTCAATAGCAGAGTGGCCCTCGTCTCCGGCTGCTGCTTTTTGTTGGCGTGTGTTTGCTCTTGGCCAAAGAACACACGCTTCCGAGACGTATCGCTGGCCAAACCATCCCTTTTCCTGAGCGCGATATTTATTAGACTTCTGTAACAATTGCCTTCTATTGCTTTTCAAGTTTCTTCGCTGCAAAGAGCGGAATCGCTTCTCTCCACCGAAAGCAGTGAGTCCAATTGGAAATCGATTTTCGCACAACGCAAAACTTTCGTCTTCAGTGTGTCGAGAAATAAATATTACCGCATAGCACAATAAAAAGTTGACCAACTTCAGGTAAGAATTTCAAGATATAAGTCAGAAAGCCAGCCCAAGAGAGATTGAGCGAATCAAGAAAGTTTGCATGGCCTGGAAATGCACGCTCCGTTAAATTTAATTATTCCCTTTTTTAGGGAAGCACCTGCTCTGAATATTTGTCGACGTGCGTTTTCGAATCCATTTCCAATTGGAATCAGAAAATATTTTTTTGAAAAATAAAAAGAAAACTTATGCCACTTGAGCTTGTGTTTGGAGGAAATTTTAGAGCCGATTCTATTTTGACAACATATCCTGATATAATTTTGTTGCTACAAAAATAAACTCGACAAGCAAAGCAAGTAATCTGAGAGTGAGTGAAGAGTCAAAAGTGTTCACGACAGCGTAGGATAAGAGGATCACAAAACCGTATAAATATTGAATATCACGGGGATTTTGGCAAGCTAGTTTCAAACATTTTTTTTTATCAAGGCTTCAAGCAAATATAAACGGAGGTTACTCAAAGAAGACAAGGAAGTCAATGCTGAGAAATTAACAAAGTCTTGGCAGGAACATATGCGCAAATCAGTCTTACAATTAGCCCTTGTCTGATAAACATGAATCTCACTTCTTTTTTTTAATTGTGCGTATAATTACGTAAAAACTTACACGATTCAAGGAGATCGATTGAAAACTTGCAATTTGGTGGCAAAAATAATTAAATTATTGTGCAGTAGTTGGTAGGAATAATAAGTTGGCAGAAAGGAGATCTTTTTCTAATTTAAATAATTATATTTAATATTTTGTGCTTATTTAACACCCTACGCTTTTGATAGTGTAATTTTTTATAGAATACTTCTTTTTTATACGCAGCTACAAGCTGGGAATATCCACCTAATCCAAGCTAGAACTGATGAACACGATTCCATTGGATTTGAAATTCTGTATTTCGTTTAATAAATATTAATGTTAGATCTGATGCGCTTCGAAGGTTTTAAATAAAATATAACGCTGTTGGACGGTCGGCAACAAAATCAAACATACCATTTCAAACGGAGCTAATGAATATTAATGGGCGATGAGTTGTCAGAAAAAAAATCCAGCTGTTAGTCACGGAAGCAAAAAATACATTTGAAAAAGCGTGTGATTGGAAGCTCTAATTCAAATTTCTGTTTGAAAATTTTCGTGCACGATTTTAACCGAGCGGCCGCAAATCGATAAAAGGGTGGTTGTGGAATCCTGCTGGAGCCGTTTAATTAATGTTGTTGCACACGCAAAACAAAACACAGCAGCTCTTTGTTGATGTTGGCGTTTAAATTCAAACCACACAAACGTACATAAATACGTGTCACGCACTGTGCAGCCACAGTTGCAGGCGATGAGCTCCGTGCTCATAATGTATAGCGTTGTGTGATGTACTGAGAGAGCGTACAGGACAGGTTTGCCCCGATTTGCAGGCGAACGTGCATGCATGTGCTCATCTCTAGCCTCTAATTTGATTGTCGAGCATGCCGGTCTATTGTGTGTGTGTGTGTGTGTGTGTGTTGGTTGCTTGGCGGAAAAACGCGCGCCTTCGTTTGATGATAGGCGGAGGTTCACATTGCCACAGAGAGAACGGCCTGGGCTGCGGTCGACTCGGCCCTAATCAACCCCAGCGCCATTAAATTCAATTATAAATCTCTTTGCAGCCGTACGGGCCGACCTCTTTTTGATTTTGCCCGGCTGCGCTAATATATGTTTTGCCGGCCAGAGAGAAAGAGCTAGGCGATTTTCCTTCGCAACGAGCTTTTGCTAATTAATGACTTTGCATTTGGGTTTACGAGACGGCAAGACTAGATTTTGGCTTGCAAGCAGATCGTTTGTCGCTGATATTGATTTTATACTCAAGTCTCAGCAGTTTTTGGAATCCAAAAGTTTGATTTTTCCCGTTTTTGATAAACGGGGATTTCACCTTATTTAATCATTTTTTTTTTTATAACTTTTCCAGGTGATGAGGTTGTCTAGCTTTTCTTGAGAGTGTATTAAATTATTGTAAAATGTAAAAAAAAAGTCTTCCATGAATAAAAAACAAAACCGTTTCAGGGGTCGGTGTGAAAAATTCATCACTCACTAATTCCCAATCCGGCGGCGGTTTCGCGTGCTCTCGCAGTTAAAAAATATATTGAAAAAAATATTGTCCCTGGAGAGGTCGATCATAGCTGCTCGGCGTCCCTGCGGAATCAGCAGGCAACGAAACTCTCTCCATCAGCCCAACCACTTTTCACTCCATTTCTTTTTTCTCCGCGAGCGCAAGTTGAAAAGACAATAAAAATAAATCATGGGCCAAGAGACGGCAGGCGGGCGGGCGTTAAGAACAGAGATTCTTAAGATGGCATTAAAATATTCAGGCCACAAACAAAGCAGCAAGAAAGTCGGAATTTATATTTGCCTGGGCGAGTGCAGCCCTTTTATATTTCATTTCCTAATACCTCTCGCAGGAGCAGTTGCTGTTTTATTTATGCAGCCGATAAAACATGTTTTACGCTCTGTGCCGTGTTGTACCACCGAGTGCGCGCAAGGAATAAAGTTCACGGCTCGGCATTGAATATGCGAGGCTGCGTTTCGCCTCCGGGGGCCAAAACTTTCTTCCAGCGCTTCATAATTTTTATTCCCGCGCCGCTCAAATATTTATTCTGCTTCGGGCTGCTTTCTTTTCGCTGTTTATTTTTCACTCACCCACGACGTAGAGGTGCACAAAGTGGCCCACGGGGGGCGTGGTGCTGATCTGGCACTCGTAGATGCCCGAGTCCTTGCGCTGCGGGTACTTGATGCGCAGCGCCCAGTCCTCCGTGTGCGGCGAGTGCACCGCCTCAAACCGCTGGTCGCTCGTGTACGTGTAACGGCCAACCGTCAGGAGGTGGATGTCCCGGTGACGCACCCAAGACACCTGCAAACAACATCAAAAATCATCTAAAATCACATTTTTTCCATAGAAATTCAAAATCTTTTCAAAAATAAATGAAAAAGAGAGATTGTGAGATCCACATTGAAAAAATATTTCCCAAGTTCAATATAAATTTAGATCATGCTACCCGTAGAATTTATTGGATGATATTCACATGCTAAGTTAGCTTATGAGATTTGCTGGTTGTATCTAGCATGTGAGTGTCCCCCATTATGTTTTGGATTGATGTTAGTTTTGTGAAATTTTCATTATTTTAATCCACCAGATTTTGTGGATTTTGCATGATCAAGATGCCCATAAGGACCTACACCAATAAAAAGTCCTCTGAAGTGATCAAATTATTGTTTTAGACTTAATTGGAAGTATAATCCACAATATTAGAAAGGTACACAAATTCATCATCAAAATAAATCAGTCCGTTTTTTACAACAGAAGCACCCACAAAGCCATTGCGGGTCAATTAATTAATTTTAAAATCAATAAAGGGCTCAGGCCTATCAGACACTTTGAGTGCGTTGCATGCGGCTACGCTCCAGTACGTGCACTCTCAAATAATAATTTTCACCGTCCAATGTCAAGTGTGAATTGTCAAATTCAGATACAATATGCTTATTGCTAGTAAGAAATTTAGAACCGCATCGCGGCGGCCTGAGTCTCTTTCAATGTCGGACATTTTAGCAAACATCATCTGCTAGTTTTCTTCTCCTTTTCAAATTTCATTTTTTGTTTATCAACCAAGAAGAATAAAATTTATAAAAATAGTGAAACAGTGAGATAAAAAAATTGTCACCCAAAAGTCAATCTGCTACCAGCCGTGCTTCTTTAATAGTTTGAAATGAAATGAAAGGAATGATCAATGCAATGTTTTGAAAGATAATAAAATTAATTGACTAATGTATGGGGAAAAAATTGTTACACGTACAAAAGAAATTGGGAAAATTTTAATAACTTAATAAATATTGAAAAATTAGAAATTTCATTTTCATGTGAGCTGTCGATATGCTAAATGACATGTATTTAGCCTAAAAAAGAGCTTATGTAAATGTTAGTTACATTTTTTACGAGGCCGCCGCCGCGATTAACTTATTTTCAAAAGCAGCGCTCGTAAAAAAAAACAATGAAATTTCCTTTTGGTAAAAATAACAGGGAGTACAGTGCGTGTAGAGAGTTATAATTTTGTGATATGTGCGGTGCCGGCGTGTGCTTAGCTTAGCACTCTGGAAAACAAAGGGCAAATACGAGCCTTGGAAAATTGCAAAGCCGAATGAAAACTCTTTCTAGCCAGCGGATGGAACTGCGAGCTGGATGCGGGAGAGCAAAAAGCTCTAACCTGATTCTGAACAACATGCACCTGGTGCTTTTGATCTTTCAGCGGCGGCAATATAATTACGCCGCGCGCCCCATCAAATGACGCAAATTAAATTTGCCTCTCAACTTTTTTGCAGCTCTGCCGTGACATTACAGTGGAAAAAGCACATATCAAAAAGATGTGGGACGTTAAGCTTTCATTCGATGTACGCGAAATGCAAATTGTTTGGTTGGCCTAGATGCTGCCGGCAGAGTCTTGAGCACGGGTGGCCCTTGTTAAGTTCATTAAACGCAAACATGGAGCTTTCGTTCTCAAGGAGCGAGCGAAGCCGTCAAGAGTTTGTGCCGTCCGTGTATTTAAATTTACATAATCGCATATCATCGCGGCGCGAAAACGACAGAGCGCAGCAGACGAATGTATAATTCCACCCACACACATGGCAGCATGTCACATCGTTAAAAGTTACAGAATATAATGAGGGGAAACAAACACTCCGCTTTTTGAATCGCGTTTGGGAACGGAGTAAAATTCTGATAAAATAAGCCAAGTTAATTATTAAATTTATTATCTAATTTATTATTATATAATATAGCAAATATATTATAATTTAAAAATTTTTTTAAATCAAATTATCAAATTTCAACATCTTGCCATTTTTTCCGACAATTATTTTTTTCAAATAAATAATTTCAAAAATTGATCGCAAAAAGTATGATGTACAATTGGAAAAATAACAACAACAACAGTAATAATAACAATAACGATAATGATTCACCACATATCTTGAGAAAATTAACTAATTAATTTGTGTTATTGTTTCTTGAATTGATGTATGATACTTTTTGTGTGTCTTGAAAACGTTATTAGTAAAAAAAAACGCAAGGAAATAAATATCAATTTAACAAACGCTTTCAAAATTTTTAATGTGTTAAGTTTGATGCTTTCATTATAGTAAAATTATAAAAAAAAATTGGAAATGAATAAATAGTAAATACCATAACGTAAACAAAGTCTAATTTAATTTACTACTATTTATTCTAGTGAACCCAGTCTACCTTTTGAAAAACATAAAACTAAGAATTGATTAAATTAATTCTAATGTATTTCCAGCATTGTACATAAATTTCCGACTCCTGATTTTCGGCATTTTTTTTGTATTCTTGTACTTTTTTATGTCGATACATGATTCCGCTTTTTTTTGTACAGTGTACTTTTTTTGCGTTGTATGTGGAGAATAAATAAATAAATAAATAAATAAATAAATGAAAATTTAATGCATAAAAACTCTCAGAATTGTCTTACCAAAACAAATCTGTATTTTGCACAATGAAATTGTGACAATGATCAGTAATTAAGCCAATAATGAAGGTAATGATAATAAGTAAATTAAAAATATAAAAATATGGCGATCTTGTAGGTCTGAAAAAAAATGAGAACAGGCTCGTGCCCTAAACTTTGAAAAAAAAAAAAAAAAAAAAATGGCCAGAAATATCTTTCAAAACAAAGAAACTATATTCTAAGAGGAAGTTGTAATTAAAGGTAATTTTATAAAATGAAATGAATGAAAAAAAATTACATATTTTCAATCTAGTAAGGAGACAATTTTTGCTCCTCCACGTATTCATTTTGCACATTAAGTGAAGAAATTAATTTGATTGCAATCAAGCGCCAAGTTGCGCTAATGATGCCTCTAAACCAATAAGAGCTCTGCGGACCATAATTGACCTGGCGAGCATTATCGAGTTTGCAGAGAGCGAGGGAGGGTCTGCACTTATGGGCGCTAGGCACATTAATCGCGCTCGAGCACCTCCTCGTCGATTGAGCCTTCATTAGCGAGCCGGCGTAATAATGACGCCGCGGGCTCTGCGAATTTCCATGCACAAAGTCAGGGGCGTGTAACATTGTTGCGTGTGTGTGTGTTTGAAGGTGGATGCGCTCGCTCATCAAGGAAGCCGCAACAGCAAACCCATTCATCTCGCAACGCTGCGGTTCAACAAACTCGGCGATACTGCGCGGCGGCCGGGTTATTAAAATGTGGCGTGATTTATGCGAGGCCTTTTCTCCAGCACTCCTTTTCACTCACAACTTCTCTCCGATTTTGAAATAACAAAACGCGCAGCAGCTATGGCTGCTCTTGTCAAGAAAACCATAATTACAAAGCATATTAATACTGTAAATCAAAATCATCAACAAATTTTGTTCATTAATTACATAACTCTGAGTCCTTAGCGCGTTAGCTCATGAAATACTTGAATTTTTTAGTTTAAAGATTTTAATTTTTATGTTAAATTTTCAAATGTGCTGATTTTTATTTTTTTTATTTTTCTTGCTCATGAAATACGGTCGCAGACCGTAACTGAAACTGGTAGAGCAATTTTTTATTTATTTATTGATTCTCCATTTGATACAGGCATGAATATACAGCAAAAATAAACTACGTAAAAATTACAGAAAAACACATACTATTAGTTGGGGGTGATTGACAGTTGAACTCAAAGAATGCAAGAATTTCAAAACGCTACAAATCTAGTGATCCTTTATGCAAATATTAGCTACATTATTATATATAATTGCAAACGATTCGCAATATAATATTCCCGCTTGGAAAGTAGTACTTGCTATACAATTTCATCGCATACAAGAACTCTTCAAGCTTCCTTACAAAAACCTTTATCAAGGATTCACTTTAACGAGCATCACTGGCATATTATTAAACAAATTTACTACACAAGTTAACAAGGCAAGGATTCATCCGCTTCAATATCTTGTACTTTCCAACCATGGTTAGCAAAAAAAAAAAGCATGCTGGAGATCGTTATTTAAAAAAGAAATTTTCTAAGCTTGTATAGTTTTAAATAAATTAATTTTAAGTATATAAAAATAAATTGACGCGTCAGATATGATAAATATTTCTTTGAACTATATTAACACATACTTTGATTTAAATACCGATCTTTTGGAACAAGTGCAGTTGAATTTGAGGGTAATCCTTGAAATCGGTCCCGCGCTCTTCGGTATAACCTGTCACAAACCGCTTGAATGGCAACGCTGCAAAGCTCCCACTACTCTCCAAAACCAATTGCGACTACCAACACCAACAGTAAACGGCAGCCTACAGCTTGGTGTTCTTCTCGTGCAGTAAAATATGGGAAATAAAAATTTTATTTTCACGTGCCTGCACGTGCCCAAGATGATGGATAAAAATTCCTTATTATACTATTCTAGAAAAAAATGATCAAGTAAAATAAATTTATATTACAAAAAAGAGCAAGGTTATATTCCGATGCGGACACTCTAAACTTGCGCGCTACAAGTTTTGTGTCCTGCCTTCGATAAGTAATGCTTTGCGGCTGAATTAATTAAAAAAAGTTCTATTTTGCTCTGAATAATTAGTAATTAGGTAGCCAAGAAAAATCAAAAGATAATATTTTTGGGAAAAAATCCAATAAATATGTTTCGCTTCCAACTAGGACACCAAACTTGCGCAAGTTTGGTGTCCTGGTCCTGCCTTCGATAATTAATGTTTTGCGGTTCAATTAATTGAAAAAATTATATTTTGCTTTGATTAATTAGAAATTAGTTTAGGGTAGCCAATATAAAATCAAAATTAAATATAATTTTTTTTTGAAAAAAATCCAATAATTTAAATCTGTTTCGCTTAACTAGGACACCAAACTTGCGCAAGTTTTGTGTCCTGCCTTCGATAAGTAATGTTTTGCGCATCAATTAATTGAAAAAATTATATTTTGCTCTGATTAATTAGAAATTAGCGGAAATTAGTTTAGGGTAGCCAATATAAAATCAAAAGATAATTTTTTTGGAAAAAATCCAATAAATACGTTTCGCTTAACTAGGACACCAAACTTGCGCAAGTTTTGTGTCCTACCTTCGATAAGTAATGTTTTGCGCATCAATTAATTGAAAAAATTATATTTTGCTCTGATTAATTAGAAATTAATTTAAAGTAGCCAAAATAAAATCAAAAGTTAATTTTTTAAAAAAAATCTGATAAATACGTTTCGTTTCAAACTAGGACACCAAACTTGCGCAAGTTTGGTGTCCTGCCTTCAATAAGTAATGTTTTTCTGCTGAATTAATTGAAAAAAATTCTATTTCGCTCTGATTAATTAGAAATTAGTGTAGGGTAGCCAATATAGAATCAAAAGATAATTTTTTTTGGAAAAAATCTGATAAATACGTTTCGTTTCAAACTAGGACACCAAACTTGCGCAAGTTTGGTGTCCTAGTTGGAAACGAAACGTATTTATTGGATTTGTTTTCAAAAGAATTATCTTTTGAATTTTTTTGGCTACCCTAAACCAATTTCTAATTCATCAGAGCTAAATAGAATTATTTTCAATTAATTGAACCGCAAAACATTATTTATCGAAGGCAGGACACCAATCTTGCAGCGCGCAGAATTGGTGTCCTGCCAAATATGAAACACTATTTCGGCCCAAAATTAATTAATTTATTATTTAATTAATTTATTTCAAGCAGAGTGACTCGGATTAAAAAAGAAGGTGCCTTATTTTATAATGAATTAAACTTTTAATTTTTCCAAAGTAAAGCATACCCTCTTAGACGGACACCAAACTTGCGCGCCGCAACTTTAGTGTCCTGCGCAAGATATTTGATTTTCCCATCAAAAATGAATGTAATATTTTTTTTTATTTCAAGCCGATTAATTAGGAATAACTAAGAGGGTGCCAAAAATTATTATAAAGTGATGAATTTTAAGAAATCAAAAATTCAAGTGAAGTTTCTGAGTAGGACACCAAAATTGCGTGCCGCAATTTCAGTGTCCTGTGTAAGATATTTAATTTTTCCCATCAAAGTTAACTTAATAATTTTTTTATTTTAAGCCGATTAATTAGAAATAACTAAGAGAGTGCCAAAAAAAATTATAAAAGTAATGCATGATGATTTAGTGGGAAAAATTAAATATCTTACGCAGCTAGGACACTAAAATTGCGGCGCGCAATTTTGGAAACGCCACTTGAATTTTAGTTTTTTTTTTTTTCAATTTCATTACTTTTATAATTTTTTTAGCACCCTCTTAGTTATTCGTTATTCCTAATAAATCGGCTAATAAGCAAAAAATTATTAAATAAATTTTGATGGAAAAAAATAAATATCTTACACAGGACACTAAAATTGCGGCGCGCAATTTTGGTGTCCTACTCAGAAACGTCACTTGGATTTTGGATTTTTCAAATTCATCACTTTTTAATAATTTTTGGCACCCTCGTAGTTATTCCTAATTAATCGGCTTGAAATGAAAAAATATTAAATACGTTTTGATGGGGAAAAATTAAATATCTTACACAGGACACTAAAATTGCGGCGCGCAATTTTGGTGTCCTACTCAGAAACGTCACTTGGATTTTGGATTTTTCAAATTCATCACTTTTTAATAATTTTTGGCACCCTCGTAGTTATTCCTAATTAATCGGCTTGAAATAAAAAAATATTAAATACGTTTTGATGGGGAAAAATTAAATATCTTACACAGGACACTAAAATTGCGGCGCGCAATTTTGGTGTCCTACTCGGAAACGCCACTTAGATTTTTTCAAATTCATCACTTTTTAATAATTTTTTGGCACCCTCTTAGTTATTCCTAATTAATCGGCTTGAAAAAAAATCATTAAAGAAATTTGACGGGAAAAATTAAATATCTTGCGCAGGACACTAAAGTTGCGGCGCGCAAGTTTGGTGTCCTGCTAGGAAAAGATCTTTTGATTTTTGGAATTTTTCAGTAAAATGATATTTTATTTTATTATTTGGCATCTTCATTCTTATACCAAACTACTCTGCTTAAAATTAAAAAGTAATTAAATTAATGCAGATAAAAAAAATTAAATTTCGTGGGCAGGACACCAAACTTGCAGGTTTGCAAGTTTGGGACCTAATGCTTACAACACCTTTTCAGAAAATCAAAATAGTTTGTGTCAGCCGATATCTTCTGCTGGGGTCTTGTTTTAAAAATAATTAAATACAACTTAAGATTACTATATGTATATTGGCATTTAAAAATAAATACAAATATAAATACAAGATTGGAAAAGACTCATAGAAAAAACTGCAGTAGTACAAAAAGTCTTTTCGTATTTTAAGACTCAACAAATCTTTCTCACATGTGCATTTAAACTATATCAGCGCACTTTTAGTTCCACAATCCCAATTGACAATTCTCCACTTCAATCTTATACTCTCCCGGGTAATCCATTCAATTATTACTACGCTTTGCTCCACCTGTCCGCCAGCATTAACAGCAAAAAAAGACACATTTTACAGTCTTGTGTCGCTCCTAACACTTACGTATCCCCCCCACCACATCTCCTACCCTCCAACGTTGCCATCCTTCCGTTTTTCGATACCGGTTTAACCGCTTGCGGGACCGATTATATGGAGAATCGAATTTGAGGACCATAATTTTGATGCGCTTTTAGAATAATTTTGTGAATTGGCAAACCTTTTTTAAAATTTTCTGTAAAGCAGAAGTGCAAGTCACACAAAGTTGCGTCTCTATCTTTTTCAGCAGAGATGCGCTCGCGCGGCAGCGAATCTTGCTTGTCTCTCGAAAGTTGGATCGAAACTTAAGTTAAGATTGCGCGAGGAAGAGCGGGCTGACTTGACTGACACGCGCGTTGCACGCAAACAAAGAGAGAAAGATCTTCTCGTGAAAAACAAAATCAAAAGCAAAGACATGCGTTTGACAAAGGACGCGAGGAAATTCAATAGTTGTGCAATTTATAATGTTTAAATGAGAAAAGTCAAGAGACTTTGATCCTTTGATGGTTTTTTAATTGGAAACTTGCTCAAAGGAGGATAATCAAATAAGTGCAGTTTATTCGCTTTTGCCATATATGATGAAAGGCAAACTAGTTTCTAATAATATCTCACACTTGATGTAACGAGACGACAAACTGGCAGAGTCTATTGATCTAAGTTGCGTGTGTGTTTGTGTCTATCTGTGTGAGAGCAAAGGTAGGTAGGTGTTCGAGGCAGTCACGCAAAGTTTGAGCCGCCGGCAAAATTACGTCGCTGCACCCTCGGGAGTGAGAACGAGAAACTTGTTCTCATATTTCGAGTGTCCGCGTCTCGTGGGACCACGAGATATTGTTGTCGACAACACAAATATCCGCAGTCAGCGTCAAAAAGGCGCGACGGAAGTCCAAATTAGAATGCAAATTGGAGGCAAAATTAAAATAACAGGCAGAAACACGGGCTGTTGTCTCAAGGCTTAGTTAGCGAGAGGGTCTATGTTACGTATAATCCTCTAGTGTGTTTGTTTCTCACTCTCAGCCCAAAGTCAAACAAAACTCACCGTTCTGTTGCCTAAGTTTTTGACCCGGCAGTTCAAGTAGGCGACCTTGCCGACGAGCGCCGTGATGTTGTTGTTGATGGTGGTGTCGAAGTAGGGCCCCGTGCCAGGCGTCGGCAGATCCTGCAGGAACTCGGTCCGGAAGCGCCGAGACGCGGCCATCGGTCCGACGCCTGCAACACGCATCAACAATTCATGAAGGAGAGTTTTTAACATTTCAAAAGAAGCAGGAAGAGCGATTCTGCTCTTTAGCGACTTGCAAAAGCGAGGGCGGAAAATCAGTTAAAAGTTCGCGCTTTGTCAATTACGGGGAAATGTCAAGAAAGTTTTGACAGAACAAAAAGACTAAGAAGATTTTAAATATATCATTATAACTGTTAGGAAAGTCAATTAATTTATTTTTGATAAATTTGAGCCTAAACGCGAGCAATTTAAACCATATATGGATAAACATAATTTTAATTAAAATAAATGACAATTTTAGAAAGAACGTTGACTAATTTTAGGCTTTCGTTGATTTCTTCAGGATAAAAAATTTCCATACAAGGTTAATCAGGCAAATTTGAGTTCTCAAATTTAATTTGCAACGGTCTTGTTAAGCGAGGGGGGAATAAATTAACAGGATATTAGATGCATAACCGGTAAGCCTCGCATGGTAACAAGGGGCCTTGCCGTTCTAATCAACTTATGCAGCGTGCATGACAATAAGGTTGCACGGGTGGCCTAAGCCCAACAGCCGAGCCTAGAGTTGTGCGAGTGGAAAATAATGCGGGGATGAAGTTTGCAACATTGAAATTGAGGTTAATTCGAAGCCGTAATTATTATGCCGTTGTTAAAACGAAACGTGTGGCACGTCTCATTTTTTTGCGCTTCCACAGAAAATTAGCAAGAAAAAAAATTTGCTCACAATTCACAATCAGTGGAGGTTTCCATTTTCACACCTCCCACAAGCACACAATGTTGATTTAGCAAAATAGTTTTAATGTTAAATCAAGATTTAGATGTCAAAAAAGTTTCATTGTTTTTAAAAGAATCGCTGATGATAACTTCAATTTAAGACATTTTAATTTCCCAATAGAATAGATTATTTTACCAAATAAAAAAATTATAATAATAAATAAATAGAAGAAAATAATAAAAAATAAAAAAATGAGAATGATGGGAAATATAATTTAGCTTTTTTTCAACGTTTATTTCAAAGAAAAATATGGTGATGGATGATTTAGTATCGTCGCAGTCCTCTTGACACGGCACCGCGAAGTCTTTTCACGGCCGCGGAGACAAAGTAAACACCAAAAGTAAGTTAATTAACGGTAAACCCAGGCGGCATTGAAAGCTTCCCGCTCCTCATTACCCTTGATGGAAGGAGGGCGTCGGCAAACACTTGACATGAGAGCAGCGAGCGGAATCTAAAAGCAAGAAACTTTCTAGTTTTTATAACAAACCAAAAAATTGCAATGTGAAGAGAGTCTGGAGTGCTTATTAAGAAATTTTTATCAGAAAACTTCCAAGCTTTCTTCCACTTCCAAGTTAAAAGTGTGTGTTAGAAGTTAAAATAAAATCAGTTAATTTGAAAAAATGTGTCGTTTTTTTCTTTCAAATTTTACAATTGATCCTACATAAAAGAGATGCAAATTTTTCTGTTAAAAGGTATTATAAATTTTGGGAGAAAAAGATAAACAATCATTCTTTTTTAGGAATCGATTGAAATATATACGTGATACTTGCAAATTAAATTTTAATCGTAATTATTGATCCGGGCGGCAAAATTACGGCAGTCATCGCACACCTCGTTAGAGACCCCTCCTCTTTGCATACAAAATCTGTGGTAAATAATTCAGCACTGGCGCAAATCAAACCGACTAGGGCGAAACACACGTGCGCCTCGCTATTATCGGCCTGTGATGACTTTTGTTTGGCGCGACGTGCCTCGAATTCGCACAAACTCCATCCAATCTAAAAATGAAAATGCGCCAACCGGCTCGAGCGTGCGACGGCCGCTTTAAAAGTCACCGGGCGTGCAGCCTTCTCTCCCAATTGTGTACACAGCAGTTTCTATTTCCCTGCAGGCTGCGAGAAATTGGTTTTGAAATCTGTTAAGTCGCCAGTTCAAACACACGCACGAAAAAGCCACTTATGAGAAAGGCAGGCAGGTATATTATGCGCGATAAGCCCGTTCAAACAGTTTGACAATAAAGACGACTTTGAAACTGCCTTTTGTGAACATCAAAAGCTAAGTTTCATTAATCTTTTCATTTGTGATTTACAATAGGGTATACGAGGAAATACATTTTGAATTGAATTAAAATTCGCATTAACTTGTGATAGGTAAACGCAAAATAATTTGCAAATATTTATAGCTGTGCTGTAATTGTCCATTATTGATAAATGAAATTAAACAACAGCAATAAATCACTATTAAATTGAAAGATCCATTTTTTTGGCGAAGATATTTGATTTTTTTCAACTTTATGTTTTATGTGTTTTATATCAACAATGTTGACATAAAACAATGATGATTGCTTACAATTTGCCGAGGACTTCAAAAATAATTCACATTGGAAAATTTAATTTGACTTTCAACCATTGCATATATTAATTTTTATAGTATGTGTCAAAAGCAGAATACACTATTTTTTACTATTCAATTGAACTCTTAAGGTTGCTTCAATAACAACAAGCTTAACTAGTATGTATATCATGAGGCGCATACATTCTGGCACAACTAACGAATTAACGAATTTATAATTTCAATGATTCATATATTTTATGATGAAAATGTTGATTATTAGATAAATTATTGTTATTTATTTGTCCAATTGTTTTCTAATTTTCAATTTATTTGTTTTGAAGTGATGATAAAGTTTTAATACAATATAATAAAAGTGGCGGGAGATAAATTTGCCACAACACCATTGCTCACATTGCTGACTGCAGCAGTGCGATAAAGTAAAATTAGAGTCAAATCAATTAGTAAACCCAATTACGAGCCGCACAATGGCGCTCCGCGTTTCATTGAATATCGAATAGCACCGGCAATTTCATTGTGTGCAATTGTTAAACATTCAGCACGCGGCGGTGGCGGTGGCCATCAATTGGAAATTAATTTCCAACTGACTAATCCCTTAATCTCATGAAATTCAAATGCGCGCGACGTATTTTGAATAAAGCGTGCACGCCGGGTGCATATTTTTTTCCAGCTCGCACGCATCTCCATATCGGCCGGCGTCATTACCATCAATGAGGCCTTTGTTTGAATAGAAAAGTGGCAATATCCGCGGCGATTAATCTCTAATTGCGGCGATGCTACGTTTCGCATACATTCTGGGTGCGTATGCTGCAGTTCTCTCGAGAGTTTCGCAAAAAGCTGCGCTCATTATACACGCCGGCGAAATATATTACCCCTGACACAAAGCGCCGAGCCCTTTTGATGCGAAACTAATTTCATATGCTCTTTTTGTGTTTTGAAAAGTGTGTGTTTTGTGCCGTCACGCCGAGTTTGGTGCGCAAAAACTTTATGGGTCAACCATGTGCATGCACCTGCAGTAGAATTTGTTTTTGGTTTTGTGGTGACTCTGCAACTCTCGTCGTGTCACCTTGTGGGGAAGTAAAAAACGTCATATATAGTGGCATAGATGAGAATAACGTCTTTTTACCTCGTTTGAAATTTTGCAATTCAAATCCGGTAAGGGTTGCTTTTTGCAATGGGTTTCTGTAAGAATCTAAATTACTATGCAAAACAGCCATTTCGTGTAAAAAAAGATGAACATTTTTAATAGGACAGGGTGAACTAATAAATTAGGGCATCTTTTTGCTTTAAAAAATTACATGGAAACAGGAGGCAGGAGGAAAGAAAGTTATTATTCTAATGACCAAAAAAGACAATGAGGTCAATAAGGAAGAATAACAATTTGCACAAATAAAATAATGCATATTTAAACTCCTTAATTAATTTAATATTTTATATATATATAGCCTTTAGATTGTTTGAAAATGAAAACTGACATTATCCAAAATTCTTCATAAAAGTTATTTTGTTTTTTCAGTGTTTTATTAATAATTTTGAATATTGACTTTTCACTTGATGTTATGTATTTCAATGTTTTGAATAGTGAATAAATAATAATAATAAAATTAAATAAAAAATTGACCAATTTTTTTCCTCGATGAAAGTTTAAACGACAAAGAATGTAATTAATTTGAATTTGAGACCATAATTTCAATTAAAAATAAATTAAATTTTAATTCTAAATTTAAAAGCAATTAAAGTCACTTTCACAAACAAATGTTTAAATAAAAATTAAATCAAATCAAAAAGTAAATTCCAATAAAATAATTAATGTAATTATTTTATTCAAATTAATTAATGTCAATTAAAATCAAACAAAGCTAGACGGACAACATGAATCCGTAAAATGTACTAAGGCCAAAATAAAACAAGCCTCCCGCTTCTCTCCTTCTCTTTGAGTGAGTTTTATCAAATACAAAGTGTTTCTTTCATCAAGAGATTCCTTTCGTCAACGCCACTGACTCTCCTAGCCCTAGTTGGTTGAGAGAGATAGAGCGCAAGACCGATTTGGTAAAATTCGGTCGGACGTTGTTACCACGTCGCTCCATCTGAGGCGCACCGCTTCGACTGTTCCCATTTTTATCCAGATCAAATTTAATCCGATTGAGTCCGAATTTCAAAAAGTCAATTAAAAATTAAATTAAACCGGAAAAGGAAAATATAAATAGTGAGATTGCGAAAAAGAATTACCCCTAGAATTCATTGCCGTCTCAAACATGGGGGCTCGGCCTAATTTTTCGGTTTAGTTTTGGCAAACTCATTGACATAGCAAAAATTAAATTCACTTAATTTCGATTCACACGAGGTTCATCTTTTACACTCGCAGTCCGAGAATTTGTAAAAAGGGAACGCCTGTACGTAGATACCGTGGGCAAACTCGCGTATTTTGATCAAAATGGCAGAAACAACCAAAGACACGTCCGATAAGGAAGCCGCTCAGGGTGAGCCGCAAAGCTCCCAAGAGCCGGTGAACCCCGTTCACCAACAGACACCCCCCGAGGAGGCTGGGGCATTGACCCTCTCAGGCCCGGCGAGCACGTCGACGCCGCACGCGGCACAAGGCGCGCCGGCCGAGGAAAATGCACCCCACGCGGGAAATTTCCC